CTCTAAAATGCTCGTATTGTACACTTGGAAGTATGCAGTGCAAGAGCTTGTTTATATTTCATACTTTTTATACTTTAAGGGGGAAAAAGTCAAAGAAAAACTAGTATTTGAGGGGAAAAAAAGTGACCAAGTAAAGGATAAATTCAAAAAATAGCCATGGGACTTGGTGTACACACACACTCACGGGATTCCAGTTATTATGAATTGCTTCCGTCCTCCTGTGCCCCCCAATGCTTTTCTCTGCAAGTGCTCTGGGGACTAAAAAGCTAGTATCCTGGATTAACTGACGCCTGCTAGTGCTTTGTGATTATTCGCATTCTGTTTCTCGCTTCAAAGGAAAAGTAAAGACAAGACTGTTGGACCATTATTGCAGTTCTGTGGTGCCATTTCTTATTAAAAAATGAATAATTTGATTACCAAAATTGGTATATTTAAAGACTAACACCATTCTAATAAAGGCACGAATTTCTTTAAAAAAAAAACCTTTTAGATCCACCCCAATATTACTGAATCAGAACCCCTAAAGAGAAGGCTCTGCGTTTCATGCATATCTGAATTTTAACCAGTGTTGCCTTCAGCCCCAGTTATTTCTTACAGACGTGGAATTCAAAGAATCCTTGTTATGGTGGGCTTACCTACACCTTGCACTATTAGAAAAGCCGTCAGTCTGTGTATCTTAGATACTTCACTTGTGAGAGCTAGATTAATTTTAATATTCAATGTGTCTATTGATGGCTTCATTCTGCTGTGAAAGCTAGGTTCTCTGTCCCTCAAAGAGCCCTTCATGCTTCACACTGAGCATTCTTGCTACCTTTGGGGTGAGTCAAGTCCACATTGTAACACTTCCTGATAGATGCAGCAAATATTTTCTATTAATTTCCTCAGATAAGGAAGCTGGGATGGATAGAGGCTAAATGACTTGCCTTGGGCTACATATCTCGTGAGAGGAAGAAATCTAGTCAACAGGTCACTTGCCTCTGAGTATTTTTTTCTGCATGAAACACTGCTCTGAATTTTGGAAATCCAAAATAGATGATCCATAAATTTGGGGTTTTGTACACCACGATTTGTGGAGATGCAGGCAGGATGTCTATCTCATAATGAGTTATGCCATTCCAACTTCCACCCACTGCAAAATGAATTTCTCCCAGGTCCCTCCAGCACAATTTCTCAACTGACTCCAGTAGGAAAGAGTGAAATGGAATTCAACTTGCTATGTAAATCACTCACTTTTCCTTTTATGTTTGTTTATCCATTGCTAGTCTGTTAGCTTGTTTTTTTCTTTCCAAATCAAGCTAGTAGCCAGGTCCCCTGAACATTTGATTGATTTTATCCAACAGTATTGAGTGGTGGTCTTCCATCATAGCTTAACCTGCTCATTTCATATAGTCAAGATGGTCAAGACTCTACTGTTTCAGCTTTAAAGACTAAAGAACTAAACTTCATGGTGGTACCCTTTTGTTGTCCATCATTTGCTGTTCAGTAAGTATCAAATGTTGTTCAGAGATATCAATACATCTTGTAATCACAAAAAAAATGAGTTTCTTGACAATATTTTTTTTCTTTTTAATTGCTTTTATTCACATTATCACCTTAAATCCTCATGAAGTACTGATGATACAGGTAAACACACTTTTTCCAAAATATAGTTGGTTAGGGGTGGGAAGGGATAAACTGGGAGTTTGAGATTTGCAAATATTAACCACTACATATAAAATAGATAAATAATAAGCTTTTTCTGTATAGCGCAGGGAGCTATATTCAATATCTTGTAGTAACCTACAATGAAAAATAATACAAAAACAAATACAAGCCAGAGGACAATGAATTTTACCTAAAACTCTTACACTTCAGAAAATGATTAAAAATCTTTAAAACTAATAATTATGATTGCATTAATGAAGAGTTAAAAAAAAAGTACCTAAAATTTTGAGTTCAGAAAAAGTTTGCATGTATAACATTAAGAGATACAAGCAACTGATATTAG